TACAAAACACATTGATAGATGGTCTCCAAGACGAAGTCGAGAAATGTGAGAATCTGAGTCCGTTTAGAAAACGAAAAAGGCTTAAATAGGAATATCCGATAATTTCTGACGACAACAACAACAACTACAACAACAAGCACAGCAACTGCGCGATACTGCTCCACACAAAAATTGTCTTGAGGTATTTAAAAGCGACAAAAGGCGGAAAGCGCTATCATGGCTGAAATTTTCGATTGGATAGACACTTTGAAACTGTGAAGCTGAGGAGATTGACGTCGAGATCTTACATAAGTCTAAGAACGAACGATCAATCAGAAGAGTAATCCAATTACAGATGAATCGTCGGTTCAAATTAGCATACGTCTTCGAAGACCATGATTCGGACTGCGGAACAAATGTCGACATCATAGCAGTAGGTCTCTAACTCTCTCTGAATAGACACGAGAAGTAACCGGGAGAAAACTGAACCAAATCAGGAGCGCTCAGGCTCCAGGGTGCAGGGTGAATCCGCCGAAAACCTAGCAAATAGAGACAGATAACAACATTGATGCTTTGAAGCGTCCAGATCCTACCCAAACAAGGTGTTCTGTTTCGTAGCAAGCACTGATGCCCAAGCCGTAGGCTTCAGTAGGGAGTCTATGAGTCCCAAAGCTCAACCCCGAGTCCTATTTCACTAGCTCTTGAAGATCAGGTGCCCAAGGACTTTACTTCAGTTTCTTCCTACTTTCATCAATAATGATACATCGCCACAACGTTTATTCTTGGACTTTACTCAAACAAAGCTGATTTTGTTGGATTTATCGAGCAAGTTGCCCTCAATAAAAAGGGGTGTCCCTTCAAAAGTAGCGATCATTACCTGTTGAGGAGTGAAGCTGTGAAGTGACTGAAGTACGAATCGAACTGGATTTGTGGCATTCTTGATGGCACTGACGGCTTGTTCGTGGGTGGCTTCCCGTAGATCGATGTCGTTTACCTAGAAGGTAATCACAGAATTATTCACCCGGATAGTTAACTCCTTCTTCTGAAGTATAAACAAGCTGGATATTATTTTACCCTCAGAATCACTCGAATTTGAGCAAATTTAGTTATTAAAAGTAATCTCAAACAACTTACTGAAATCACTCGGTCTCCCATATTCATCATACCCGATCGGCCAGCGGGACTATTTGGTAGTACACTTTTGATGAATATTCCTAACACGGTGCTACCAGTTCCAGGCAATCCACCTTTTTGAGACACCTCAACTCGTCCGCCTACTATGGATATACCTGTAAAGAAGAGCAAATAACGCACTTCTTAAGAAATCGAGCTGATCAAAGGGGAGGACTTGGCTGACTTACCAAACGATTTATTGGGTTCACGCTCAAGTACGACAGTCCGAGCTTCACCCCAGAATTTCGATCGAGAAATTTGTTTTGCCTGAAATCAGAGCTAAATATGGAAGCAATATGTACAAGCAAGTAATTTTGTAAAATTACTTTTTAAACGTGTACTAAAGCAGTTCCGTAAACATAAACAAAAGCAACCCGTTCCTTCTTGATTTGCTGCATCAATGTACTTTCTTCTTACGGTGCAACTTATTTGATTTCCAACGATATCTCAAGAGTTTCAGGTATTACTGGACTGTTTACTGTGTACAGAATCGCTGTTGTTTGTCTGTTTTTATTAATTTCAGATGGTTTTTCATTCACTGCATAAAGCTTGCTTTTGGATAGTGGTAGAATGACGGTTATGGACAGTATAAATAAAGTAATAATTAAAAGAAGGGCAGATAGTTACCCAATAATTCCTAGTTACCATCCTGGTTACCGCAGTACCACTCAACATAAAGTAGACGGAATAAGTTTGAAAAAAGGAGTACTGTAGAGATTACCCTACTTTGAAGGCCCAACTCGTGGTTAAGATGACTAAGCAACTTTTTTAGTGGAAAAATCTACGGCTTTCGAAAAAAACATGGGCACTGGCGGTTCAAAAAACGGTGTAGACAGGGCAAAATGAGGGCCTGAACCTGGCCCCACTCAGTGTGGTTCAGAACTACCTAGAAAGGACATAGGTGAGGCTTTGCAAGGAATTCCGTCATCCAGGATGAAGCACGATGGTTGTAAACTCAGTCAGATGATGGCCGTTAACAGCCAAGCCACACTGATCTGCGTTTTGTCCAAAAAATCTCGTCCAGAAACCTGTTCTGTGGTAAAACCTCTGTCTACCTGGGTAAGGTAACAAAATGGATCAGAAAAAAGCCTCGTATTCACGGAATTCTGTCGATTTTCTTATTTTCTTGACCACCGAAGAACTACTTTGGTAGCACATTTGCCCTGTTATCATACTATAGAAATACATGGAATAAGCACGACCTGTGTCCTTAGGGAAAGAGGGGATGAGCTAGAATCTATCGGGACACAAGGAATTCAAACATTTTAATAAAAAGAAGGCCCAGAAGCTATAATCATTTGTATCTCAGATGGAAATGTGTAATTATAAAAAAAGCGTGTACTGGCAAAGACACATTGAATTTGTCCAGGACAACCCAGAATCATCCAATTATGTTTTTTGTCCTACACCTCTCTGGTGGCTACCACTTTTCACTGAAGAATGATGGCCCAAGCGTGCGATTATTTGAATGAAGGGGTACGGTGTATGTAATTAGACTTCACCCTTCCAGAATGTAGTCCAGATGAAAAAATAGAACATATATACGTTCTGGGATAGTCACCTGTTGATTGGCACTTTCCGCTGCAATACTTGGAGTTTTGGAAGCCATTGAGGTATCGATAACTGCCCTTCCAATCACACGCTCGTCGTCCGTTCCACTTGGTGGTCGGTCAACTTTTGGTGACACATTTGAGGCCTGAAAATCGAATTTTTAACACAAAAC